CCCCAATACTACCCCTATGAATACCAGTGCCCCTAACACCCCTAGCAAGTGTTTCCGTTGTGGAAAAGAAGGACATGCATCTTATAACCGCCTCGAGAGGCGTAATCAGCAGCACCCTAGGTCGAATAAGAACTAGAAGGGAACCTCTTAAAAGCCATCACATTATGGAAAGGTGAATCATGTGTCAGCTGAGACGGCATAGGAAGCTCCAGAAGTTATGCTCGGTACGTTCAGTGTTAATTCCAACATTCAGTGTTAATTCCATCCCTGCTACCATTCTTTTTTATTTAGGAGCTTCGCATTCTTTCATTTCGCAAACATTCGTTAGACTACATAGCATGAACTTATGTGTCATGAAAGAACCCATACTAGTGACTTCACCGGGAGTAGGTATGCAAGCTACTTTATGGTGTCTTCGGCTAGTCGATCTTTCTTTAAGAGGGTACACTTCAAAGTGAGTCCTATTGTGTTGAGAACGGCTAGTATATTAATATTATTTTGGGTATGGACTGGATGAAGAAACATCGGGCAGTGATTCAGTGTCAGGAGAAAGGTTTCATACGCCCTAGTTCATCTCCATGGGGGCGCCTGTGATCTTTGTTGATAAGAAGGATGGTACTCAATGGATGTGTGTGGATTATCGATCTCTTAATGAAGTCACTATCAAGAAAAAGTACCTTCGGTAACCACTAGCAAGCTAAAAAAGATCCGGTCTCTTAATAAAGTCACTATCAAGAAAAAGTACCTTCGGTAACCACTAGCAAGCTAAAAAAGATCCTCCTACTTGATTAAAGACAGAGCCATGTGGCACTTCCGGTTGTACTATATGTCCTAGCTTTTACTGACAGATAAGTTCTTAGGGAGGACAAGAGCATCATGTAAAAAAAGCCAGATAGCTCTCACCCTAAACTCATATCGCTAAAAAGCATCTTTTAATCTCGTTGCATAAAACCATTAGTCAAACTTTGATCATGTTTTATTATGTTAAGCACTAGCAAAGTACTACCCATATGCAATAAACCCATAGGAGATAGCAATTAACTAGGATGTCCTTACGGGTAACAAAATAGACACATGCATATGATTAAGTGATTAATAGCGAATAAGACAAAAGATAGATCCCATGTTATACTTGCCTTGCTCAACGAACTCCTGCTAGTCCTGGTCATCAACAAAGTACTCCTCGTCACACATATTGCTCACCGTCTATACTCGATCAGCACAGCAACATACAAGCATCGTCCAGAGGCAATATCATGCAAAGCAAACAAAGACTATAGATTAGAACAGTACACCAACAATAGAAAAAGATGTTGAAAAGTTTATAAATCTAATGTACGCATTGCTACGATTACATAAACGCAAATTGCACTCAAATCAGATTAAAACAGAGAAGATATGATGAAATTGGGCTCTGAATGGCAGATCTATAAATAACACAAACTATTATCGAATTAAAATAAAAAATCAGGATTTAATCTGAACTGAGGACGGCGGACACAATTACCATTAGATCATGTAAACTAGAGAGAGAGAGCTTTAGCAAAAGTGCCTGACAAAGGGGTATGGGTGACCGTTGGATTACATCTTGGAGGCTCAAGATTAGATAGGAGGGAGAGAGAGCAGGCTGGCCAGCACAAGGAGGCCGACACGGCGGAGGACATGGCTAAGCTCGGCGGCGAGAAAACCTCGCCGACGCGCATGAAAAGCCGGCCCTAGAGGCCACGGTTCGACTTTTATGGTATCTGCATCACCACGAATGAAATCGAAGATGTAAACGGAACGAGGATGGCGAGCTGGGCTAGGAACGGCGGACACGAGCTCCTGCAAGGTTTCGGCGACGGTTAGCGAACAACGGAGAGCGAGAAAAGAAAGGCAATAGATTCGGCGGATTCTCAAACCCGACTCTAAGCTCGGCAGCGGGATTACAGTGGCGGCGAAGATTATCAGCGAATCGGCAAGCCCAAACTCGGCGGCGGCGACGAGCTCAAATCGAGGCAAGCGGGCTAGGGTTTGAGGCGGCAGCTGCGCGAGGGTTTGGGGAGGCGGTGCGGCGCAGGGACCGGATAGTTTATTTTTGGGGCGGTAGACGTGCGGAGCAAGCCGGAATCGAAGGAGAATCGAAGCCCGGCGGAGGTCGATTGCTCGGACAGAGTCCGGCTGCTTCACATCGTGAAGGTAGTCCGTGAGGCCGCTGATGAGCGGGCCCGGAGTGACAGTGGCACAGGGCGCGGGGCCGGTCTGCCAGTGAGACAAAGCGAAAGAGAGGGAAGGTGCGGCTCACAGCGGGAAGAGAGCAGCCGGCAGGCTGGGCCATTTGCAAAAAAGAAGCAGGCCTTTCTAAAAGAAAGCCGAGAGGGAGGAAGGGAAAAGAAGTTTTTTTTTTTGTTTTTTACTTTCAAGGGTTTGTAAATCTTTTTCAAAAGAATTTTGAATTCCTATTCTGATTTGGTCAAAACCAGTCATCACAAAAATAAAAAGATGCAGCAGCATGAATGCATCAACATGTGTCTATCCTTATGATTGCTTTTAATTTAATAAAAACATATTATTTCCCTAAGTTTGAATGCTCACCAAAAATGCATTAATTAAATCAATTTCACCTATTTTCAAGAATGCAAATTTTAGGTGTTACAGCTTTATAGACAATGGCTCATGCTTTCATGTTCTATCTCAATCAGTATCTCATGCCATGATTTATATCCATCAGCTTATTAGATAATGGGCTTTACTTCATTTATATATCAGCCGATGCTCACTGTCTTTAGATTTTTGTTTAATTTACTTTATCTTATCATATTACTAAATATCGATTTCATAGCCGATGACTTGTGCATTCCATCGGCTTCCTAAAGATAGACTCATGGAACTGTCCGGATTACCAGAAAATCAACATGTTCTACCTTAAACTACTAATTATCTTCTCCATAAAATCTTGTCAATTACGGGTCAAATGGTTTCACATGCATGTTTTATAGCAAGTTTGCCCAAGTTCCCAAAATGAACACGACCTACACTGGAGTAAAGAAAATCTCCCGAATTTTCTACATATTTTCAAGTTATCGAATATACATGATTAAATAAAATTCTTGAAGTAGCAAAGTATTTCAAAAATTGGTGCCCTATGGATCAACCAAATTTCTACATCGATTTGAGCAATCTCTAATATATTTTTCTTTAGCAACTCTTACCATAAACCCTCTTCATTGCAAAGTTTAAACAACCAGTTACTTAATAAGCATTTGTTTTGCATGTCTAGATTTTGAATTCCTAAACCACCCTACTCTTTTGGTTGGCAAAAAGAACAGAACACTTTGATAGTCTATACTTTTTTGTGTTGGTCATACTGCCAAAAAAACCTCGATCTATCGTACTCAATTTTCTTAAGTATCCTCTAGTTACTTCAAAAAAGAGCATAAACCTCGGTAAACTTAACAGAAAAATTGAACGCTAGAATTGTCAAACACTAGTTGTCCCCATATGATAACATATTTCCTTTTCCAACTTGACAACCTGATTTGCTTTGCAATTCTTTCCTCAACTCCTTTTGCAATCTTATTTTCTGTAATGCATTGGCAGCCCGAGGTATCTGAAGGGATATGTGCCCACTTTGCAGCCAAATAAATGTGAATATTGCAATTCACATTCTTTCGCTTTCCTATAGCAGAAAATTTCGCTCTTGTGAAAGTTTATTTTTAGACCGGATAATTGCTCAAAAGTGCAAAGTAGTAGTTTCATATTCATTGCCTGTTCAATATCATGGTCTAAAAATAACACTGTATCATCTGCGTATTGCAGAATTGAGACCATCTTCGACCAAATGTGGAACAGCCCCTTTGACTTGCCCATTTTCTTTGGCCCTAGCAATAATAATCGCTAACATGATGTCCACCACAATATTAAACAAAATCGGGGATAGAGGGTCACTTTGCCTTAGGCCTTTCTTTGTTTGGAAATACGAGCCCGTGCATGCTTGATAGCGAGGAAAAAGGTCTAATTTACTTGTCTCAACTATCACGACCCTCTGATTTTTCTCCTGAATTACAAAACCAGTTTTTTACTCTCAACTTTTAAAACCATTTATTTTTGGACCTTAGTGGTCTTTACTGTGGCTTTGCTAAGAGGACAAATCGAACTAAACAGAAAGTTTAAGGAGGTAAATCAAACTAAAAAATTTTAAAAAAAATATCCAAAATCATAAAAATAAATTTTCAAAATTTATCCAAATGTTTTACATGGAAAGAGTCAATGTTTTTGCACCTTGGTGCGTTGGAGATGAGAGAGGGGGTAACAACAGAATTGTAAACAACGCGGTCCATCTAAACATTCATCTGCCTGTCGTCTATCTGTTCCTCAGCCTCGCTTGCTCTTCTTCTACTTCCGATCCCTCTTTTCTCTATACCAACCCTTGTGCTTGATGCTAACACAGCACCTCCAATCGCTGGCCACTACCTCAGCAAGGTTCAAAATCTTCTAGAAGATTCCTAGTGTAAGATAATCTAGAACGGCTTGACCCCTCAGGTTAGCCTTAGCTTTATATTATATATATACACGAATCAGAGGGATTACAGATGCAAAGGAGGTAGTGCTAGTCGAACAGGACAATAGTCCTAACCGGACTCTAATCCTAACCTGTTACTAGAGGTATCATATTCTAACACACGGCAGCTCAGGAGTGGCAGCAGCCCATTCGAAAGAACATGTACTTACATTTCAGTGTGCTGTCACAGATTCCCACGGTGAATGTGTACAGTTTGCGGACATACAATTGAGACCACACGAACTGGATAGCATTAACAAACGGAAGCACAGAAAACACAACGGCACAAGCATGAATCATCTGCAATCGATTTTCCATGACAGACAACCAGCAACCGATCATAATTAATTTACATAAACTACAAAAACTCCTCCCTTGTCTCTTGCAGGCATGCACTACCACCATACCAATCATTCCCGTGTAAAACTCGAGAGACCAAGTCGTACATCAACAGTCACTGTTACAGCTGAACACCTGCAGTGCTTGGGCGCAGCCTTCCTGAATTCATCACTCCCCTTGCGGTGGTCTGTTAGGAAAACAAAATTCAAAGAATTAAGAAGAAACATGTCTATAAATCAAAGTGCCCTAGTTGGTGGAGGTTACCTCGAAGAAAGAGTTGAAGTTTAGCCTCATCAGAAATTGCCTCAGGAAAGGTGCTCTTTGACTACCCGCGAGGCGACTACTCCTCAAGATAGTGTACAGCGAATTTGACTTCTTGTTGAACTCCTGGTTACCATCAAATCATGGCAAGAATGAAGTATGGTTTACTAGGACTGAGACTTTTGAGCATGCTAATGCTATGCTATGTACTGGTATCTTCAAGTTATTGAGTAAAAGGGAACATAAATACCTCAGTTATGTGATCAATCTCAGAAATATTTGGGCGAGTTTCATATTGCTCAATGCTCCAGCAGAACTGCAAGCAAAGCTTCATTATGCTGTCTAGTATCCTAGAGACTGATCCAATATCCAGGAAGGATTGGGAAATCAGCGCTGACAAATATCTGTAGTGCAAGAGCCTTATTAGTAATCAACAGAAACTGATTTTGTGATGTTAATATAATCAAGCAAAACAAGGTAACACACCATGAATATCTCCATTTACACCAAGTTAAAAAGAATTCTGTAATAGTAGAAATTAAATGCCAGGGTTTATTAAACAAGACTGCACAGCAAAACATTGCAACTCGAGGGAAGATCTTATTGAAATATTTGAAGATGGATCAGTAAACACGAGTATTCATCCAAAAGAAAACTCATGTAAATTTGACTCATAATTTATCTAAGCATTTTGAAAGTAAATTACAAAAAGAAAAGCTTATTCCTGTCAGCAAAACAAGTTTTATGGTTGTCCAGGATAAAGTGAAAATTGGTTGCTTACTCTTGATGAAAGCTCACTAGCTCTGTAAAATCATGTGAATCTTGCACATGAGATTGTAAAACATTCCACTGTGACTCAATTACATCAACCTGAAAAGTAAGTTCAATTTGGAAGGACAAGGTTATTTTCATTGGAGTGGAAAAAGCAAAAGAAACAGATAACATAAGAAATGTCCAGCATTGATGTCATCAAGAACAGAATCCGATTTCAGTGTGATCCATTCACATGCTACAACCACTGAACCAAAAATGTACGGAAAAAGGAAAGGAAAAAAATGTGATAAACACACAATAGCATATCTTGTTTTTACCTGTATGTAAAATTGTAGGTTTCTGATCAAGAATGCCATATGCTCCCTTACTCGCCACAAAGGCTTAGAGCGTTGTCGACGCAGTTGTGTTGCAGAGTTATTTTTCCGATCCTTGCAGTAATCAGAAAAATCAGCATGGTCTTTATGCATTACAGCTGCCCAGGATTTCTCAAGTTCCATTTGTGTCCTCTTCAATCGGATGAGATACTGGAAAACCTTGCGATACCTGGATAACATTTACACATGTCAGAAAAAAAAAGGAAAGCAAATAGTAAAAGAACTGTAAACTGAGTCCAACAGAGCCTGTTTTGTAACGTTTTTAAAATATATGTGCACACTCAGAACAAATCCGTGTAACCCAAAAGGAGTGTAGCTTTATTGAGATTGAGAATTGCTTATGCCCTATGATACTTACTTGGACAGAACGTCAGGAGTGAAGAAGAGCTGCAGAGGCCAGTCGACAGTATATTCCAGAGCAATACTATCCCACCCATCAAGTGCTAATTCTGATGTAGCTTTTCCTTGTGAAGAAAGCTCTGAAGCATTGGGTTTTTGGAGATCTTTCTGAGATGTGCTACTTTTCATACCATATGATAGCATCCTACAAAATAGAAATAAAATCAGTTGACAACCGCAGAGCTATCCACTAGGAAGGCCCTGACATAAATTACTGTGATGAGGCTATTCGAAATGCCGACCTTAATGAGACTCTGGTAAAGTACTTGTCTTCCTCACCGATAGTCTTCAGTGCAGCCTGTAGGAATTAACAGCAAATTACCACTGCTACAATCAAATCTATTTGCTGAGATAAGTCATCACAACACATAAGAGAACTACAGCAGCTATCAGGTAAGTGGATGAAAATAACATCAACAGCAAGAGAACATAAGATTGTGTATCATCAAAGTTTTGGAACACAAAGGGAAGTAGGGAACATGTTACTCACCAGCTGAAATGGGATCATGAGATCTGCTTCGGCTGTAGATTGACGAGGTGGTAAACGCATTAATTGGCGGCTTTCCTCAAGAAAACACTAGGTGAGAAGCATGATCGCTCGTGTCAGAAAACAAGCCAAACAACAAATTTGCACAAAATTTATATAATGATCTTAATGCAACAATTGAGAAACATGCATGTAAAGGAAAGGAAAAGCCATATGTCATGGATAAAGAAGTGCATGCTTACCTGGAAAAAGTCACCTTTTGCTAAAAGAAAATAATCTTTCAATGCCTTCAAATGACCGTTGAGATCAGCACGTACCACCACTAGCTTTTACCAAAATTAACAGTGGGTGATGTTCCTTTGCAATCAAATATTGATGGAATATATAATGCTTTGAAACATCAGTACCTGCCAGAGATGATTAGCTGCAATTGTACGTATTGAACCAACAGCAGACTCAAAAGGTCGTTTGTGAAATTCAGAAGAATGCTGCAGAAATACAAGCAACCATATGCCCAAATCAGTATAGCCATTTTATGAAGATAGCATAAAAAGGATTTGTAACACAGAAGGGGAACGCGCATGCAACAAAAGATGGTGGTAACATAAACAGTACCAGCACAAGTTGCCTAGTTGACAACTAACCTTTAGCTCCTTGAGCATAACATCAATTTTATCAGCTTCAGCTTGTGGCAGTAGTTCTTCTGCGCTGATGTTAGAGAAGCTTGGCAGTTCTTTTGGAGCACCAGAACCTCCTACAAAGCTTTGCATTCCAAGAGATCCTTTAGAGTTCTGGCTTTGGTTAACAGGTTCCTGCAATGTAGCACCAGGACTTGGATTTCGAAGCACCCTTATTGCTTTGCCAGCGAAGAGAATGGACTCTGCAACTCGCATGTGGATATACTCAGGCAACATGGCCTGTGAAGTGTGGGGTCAAAAACAAAGGATATGACTATCCTTGCTAACAGTTACTACATAATACACAGGCACTTCGTTTTAAGAATATAAGCATACCAATGATACATGAAATCCTGTATGCCAACTAGCCAGGGATGTGTCTTTAGCTAATTTCTGCTTAAACTTATCAGAAACATCACGCTGAGATGATTCATTCTCCCCATCCCTGTCGTCTTGCCTGAATATTAAGATGAGAAGCACAAGTTTTATATATTAGGAAACAAACCATGGGTTAACATTCAACATTTGGGACTACTTGTCATCTGAAAGGTAACAGATTCCACTCCAATTGTGAATTTTATATTCGCCACCCAATTTGTTGTATCCCTCATATCAACAACATTAGACGCAAATGGTCTGTATTAAAAACATTACAGAAAAAAATACTTGCAATGTGTGGGAGAAAAGAAATTTTATGTCATCTATAAGGGAAACTATCATATTGCAACCAATGTGAACTTGGGAAGCTCAACTTGGAGCATTAGCATTATATCTACCGGATTATAACTGACAAGTGGAAATATGGAAATGAGACATCACAAGCAGGAACGAAATAGCATGAATAGGAGCTCTGTAGACATGCTGACCTTCTAATGAAAAATTCACTGTACTGATCTTGAAGAATCCCATAAACCATCCAAGATGTCAGCTGGTTGAACATGACCTGGTGTCCATGCCAAAGTAGCCTATCCTTTTTTTAAACAACGTAAAAAGAAAATGAATGAATAAAATTCAACAATTAGGACATATGCAAGACAATTGAGTACACGCTGCAAGTAACTGCAATGAAGTCGGAAGAACAGAAGTTTCCATGCAAAACATGAAAGAAATCAAAATAGCAGTTCTATTCTCTTTAATTGTCACATGTATAGATAATGGTAAAGTTATACCTCTGAATGCAGCTTTGCAGTTCTGGAACCCCACAATGGCACCGTTTGTGCAAAAGATTAAGAAGTTGTCCACCCTTGATGTCTTTCTTCTCGATTTCCATAACAAGCTCATACAGTGGAGGCAGAAGGACCTCAAACTGCAATTTAGTGCAGCAACGACCATGGTAAATGCCAATAAGTAATAACCAAACACATAAGCAAAGTAAAGATCATAAGATAATGTATACCATCAAAATACAGCACATATTTGTCAATTAAAAGATGCTAATTGCAAAAAGAAAACGCTGTTGAGAGATGGTCATGGACATACCTTATTTAACCCATGAGTTACTGTCGCGAGGATAGGCAACGGATCTGACAACAGGTTTTGCTCAACCTGTAGAACAGCTGATCTGTACACTGACAGAATCTCAGTAATACCATTGGCAATTGCCCTCCTGTACACACTCCCTTTTCTTGCTTTTCCCTTCTGAGATTTATCAGAATGAGGTGATGAAACATCTACAGAAGACTGAATCCAGCTCAGGTCACGAGACTCGGTTGCAAAGCGGTTCAGTTCTCTGTAGTAAAATCCCAGAGATATGAGCCTCTCAATAGCAGTCCTGCAGAATAAAAGCCATTTAGCATAGCAACCTTTATTTGTGTTGGACTCCGATTAGGTACATCATGTTATATATTCATTACAATGCTAAAGGCACTAGAATATTGACTAAGACATCTGGACAGAGGGAACTTCAGAGTTTGTGAAGGTGAATTTTAGTGGATATAAATATCAGTCAGTGCATCCAGTGGTTTGGTTTACACTTGTCAGGCATAAAAAATAGAAACCTTATTCCTGAGCAGAAGACAGGATATAAGTATCGACTTTATCATTACCATGAAATTTGTGACCTTCTAATGAGATAATGGCAAAATGCAGATTGTATAACGAGACTGATCGACTCAACCAGTGCATTGGTTGCATTGCAAATTTCAGAAAGCATGCTTACTAGTATGATTAATAAAATTTTAAATAGGATGGCTATGGTCTATGGCAATAATTTCATGAGCAATTAAACATCAAATGACGAAATTGTGCCTAGGCATGCACAAGAACCACCAATACAGGTAAAATTCTGCATAAATTTCTCCAGAACTCGGTGACTCCCAACCACACCTAACTCCGTATCCGCCCACACCCGCACAAAGATCTCCCATCCCCACGCAGATCATGGACGCCCACACAGCACTACAGCACGGCCACAGATTCGCGTCCGCGGGCGGTTGCAGGCGTTTGCCCTTACCTCTCTGACGGCTGGAGGAAGGTGAGGTCCGGCGCGAGGCGGAAGGCGGGGCCCACCTCGCCGTCTCTGTCTCCGTCTCCATCCCGGCCGGCCTCCTGGGACGCGGAGCGGCGGCGCGGCGGGGAGGCGTCGAGGACGAAGTCGCCGGTGAAGCCGAGCAGCGCGAGGAGGAGCTCGTGCAGCATCACGGCGGATCGGTGCCCCCACGGCGGGGGTTTCACTAGGGTTTCCCCGAGATCGCGAGGAGAGAGTGTGGGAAGTGGAGAAGAGAACCAAGGAAAAGGGCGGGGACGGCGGAATTTTTAGTTCGTTTCCATGGATTTTTTTGAAAAAATCTAACTTTGCTGCTATGAGTTTGCGGTTAATTTACTCCCTCGTCCAAAAAATACAATTCTAAGATTTATTGAAATTTGTAAAAAAATAATATCAACACTTATATCTTCAAATAATTTTTTTTAAATTACATAGTACACACGCACACTCACCCCTATGAATACACGTACGCAAATCCCACCCCTATGACCACATTCAAAGAACTGAGCCGGCAGATCTCGAGATTCACGAAGTCATCATAGGTGTCTCGCTGTCGACGAGGACGTCGCCTACCAATGAAAGCATAGTGCCGTTAAATCCTAATTTTTGGAATCATAGATGTTGGTATTTTTATAGAATTTATTTAATGGGGACGTCTAGCGCCCGGAAGCCCCGCACCTGCTGCCCGCCCTGTGTCCGGCTTTCCCATGCAGCTCCCGCACGTGCTCCTTCCCTCGTGCCTCTGTCGTTGGGTCCCGATTTGACCGTGCATGCTTGTGGGGGAAATCATCGCGCGCGCTGCCATCAGGAGCAACAATGACGGGCCACGCCTGGTCGCGTACTCCTGTTGCCCGTATGCTACTGCTGGCGCGTGATGCTGCCACTGACAGGCCGCTTCTAGCTGGAATAACGAGAGAGAGAGAGAGAGCAGCCGAGCATGGATGCAGCTTCGTGCTCCACGTCCGCTGCCACGCCCATGATGTCTTTGTGCTCCGCGCCTACTGTCGTGCCCATTTGGCTTCCCACGCGTGGAGATCGCTGCGCCCAAGGGGGACACCTCTGTCTGCACCCTTTAGTCGTGCCTGCTAATGAAATACTTGCAGCATAAAAGCATTTGCTATAACGTACGTCCGAAATAGATGAAACATTTACAACAATACGCTTGCAACATATATGTATGGGCACTGCAACATATACAACATCCAGATAAAACACTCGCAACATACGTTTGAAATAGCTAAAACATACACTTACAATATACGTGTATAGCCATTACAATATATACAACATCTAGATAAAAATACTTGCAATATACGTTTAAAACAGCTGGAACATTTGAAACATACACTTACAGTATATGTGTATAGTATTGCAACATATGCAACACCAGATCTACTTTTGCAACGTCCAGATTAAACATATGCAACATACATCTGAAACGCACGAAATATACGGTTGCAACATGTGCTCATCTACTTGTTGCACCACAATGGAAACTCGTTCACGCGGAGCTCGAAGCAGGTGCGGTTGACACTCGGATGGATCGCAGCATGACGGGAGCCATGAGGCGCGGGCAAGGGTGCGCAACACGAGGCACGAGGCACGCGACGCGAGGCACGGGGGCAGGCGTGTTCGTCCGGTCCTTTGGCACGAGGCGCAAGGCGCGGGGCGGCGGGACGCGAGGCCAGGCGTGTCGTCCTATCCTTTGGCGCGAGGCACGAGGCGTGGGGGGGCACGATGCGAGGCGCGGGGTCAGGTGCGTCCGTCCTGTCGAGAAAGGATAGACGTCCTGAGGGTATCAATATTGGAATTTAATTGAATTTAAAATTATTGGCTTTTTAAAAACGAGAATTGTAATTATAATCAAGTCTATAGAAAAATAATATTAACACTTATATCTCCAAATAATTTTTGGAATCATGGACGTTGGTATCTTTTACAGATTTGATTGAACTTAAATTTTTTTTGCTCCTCAAAAACAAGAATTATATTCTTTCTTCCAAAGGGGGAGTATAAAAAAAACCCAAATGCACATAGACAAACAAGCATTTGTAATTTTGTGTATGTATGCCAAAAATAAATACACGAGCTTGCTTAACACGAGGGCACACATTTCCAGCACAACTTTGGACATTACTAAAGAATAGTTAAATTTAACAATCTTCTTGTAGAAATTCAACTGCGCTTTTTTTCAATAAATAACGTAAGGGCACAAAATATGTTTCCACGGCCGCTTTGCAGGTACAGTACTACTGTATTTTTGTATTTTCGTTGCAATCCGTGTCCCTAGTGCTGGCGTTGTCGGTCCATTCCGTACCTCACAGCATTTCAACATTTTACAATGCTAACACAACGAATGCCACCCACTGCAAGTCAATAGTAAGTGTTTAACCAATTTTTTATTTTATTTTGTTGGAAACAGGAAACTGCATGAAAGGTAATCCTTCACATGCTACGATACGAACACGAACATCTACGGCTCAACAGGTACCATCGCAACGGAAATGCAATAGCAATAGCCATTTGAAATTTATCGGTCAACAGAATTGCAGCATAAGAAATTGCGTCACATTTCGAAGCTCCGAACATCCCAACTTGATTTCAAATATGTACGAGATGGAATTCACATAAACCAAATCAAAATATCCTCTCAGCCGGATCATTTCCTGTTTCTGGCCCCTCGAACATTGTCCCAAAGTTTTACGGCGCAGCCCGGCTTAACTTAATACAATGGGTTTCCCATCGTTTCTTACAAGCAACTCAGATTCCAAATTAACTTTGGATTCTCCAGCAGCGAGGGTCTACATCCGCGGTGAGTGCATTTGCCGATACGAAGAGCCCTCGGGCGATCTATTTTCAGGGGACGACCTGCCGACGCCGAGCCATTGCCCAAACAGCCTCCTTGGAGCGGATGTAGGCTCTGATGTGCTATGAGACTGCTGCTGTGAGGTCCCAGCAGCTTGTCTCGCAGTCCACGGGCATCAACGGTACGGGCGAACCGGTCACGCTCCCAGGCGTAGAACCGGCTCCCTCCCACGTCATCAGTCTCCATCGAACTATGGCCAGATGAACCCGGCGGGAACAAGGAAAAGGTGGGGTTCCCTGGTAGAGGTGTTGGGGCAGGTCGCATGCCTCCTGACCTATGGGCCCCAGCAAATAGGCTAGATGATGAATTCTGTTGGTACTGTTCGCTGATGCTGCCATGAGCCCTCATGAATGGAGGCATCAGAGGAGGAACACTGGGAGGTCTAGATCTGGAACCAGATCTGCAAACAAAAAAAAAATCATTATAACAGCAGTATTCACAGCGATGGATAAGATGCTAGACTGTATGGCAATAGTTGATGTTGTAGCAAATATAGCTTTTTTTCTAGATTTATTCTCCCAGCCTATTATGTCAGTAAAGGTTAAACAAAGGAAAATTGAGTAATGCAGTCGAGGCAAAGGCACTAATCTAACATCGAGAAATATGCACAAGAAATTTTTTAACAATATTCACAGATGATATATGCTAAGAGACCCAGGTTTTCACTGTTTGTTTAGATTCATTTTACTAAAAAATGGTGCATCTTCTCAGAGTACAATGCATGAATTCAGAATTTTGTATTTTCATAGCTAAGTCATAGCACAACTCACGAGAGATAAGTATAATTTACCCATTACTGAAGTAAGATGGAGAAACAACAGATGCTCGACGTTGGCTATCACCATCAACCCGTGCAGCCCTTGTTCCAAAAGGGATTCCTGGCTGCTCGTTATTGCTGTTGGGTTGAGCATAAGAATGGGGCACGTGTGCCCAATGGCTATGATGGAAATCAGCAGGTTGCATTGTTTGCATGGGCCTAACATCTGATGGACCAGCCATGGGGTTCCAATGATCATGGTATGCAGGATGATCCATAGTTCTCTCAGGAACATGGGAGCTTGACGATGACGTCAGTGGTGGAAGAGGATGCAAGTATGCCACATAGGGGCAAGGATGAGTTGTCCCTGGTGCAGCAGATACAGCTACTTGCTCCGTAAACACATGTTGTCCCATGAAGTCATGAACTGCAAGACCAATATCCAAACATGTTCAATGTAAATTTCAATTTTACTACGAATTGCTCAATGCAAATCAGAACTTACATGTAATTGGAGGTGATGATTCTCCTTCCCTGACAGAAAAAGGGAAGGTGTAAGTGAATAGCACTAATTTTTCCATAACAGGTAACAGGAAAAGAGTGGGATTCACAGCAAGAGAACAGATAGACAGGTGCAACACAAATAATCAAGTTTCCCGCTAAAAAAAAAAGCAAATAGCTCGGTTGCCCTGCATCGGTTTTTCTCGCATGGTTACCAACTAGAAAATAAATTATCGATCTTAGGATTGGCTCACTTGTTTTCTTCAATACACCCTAAGTAAGGCACCTATTATCGCCATCCACAATCCCCAATGAGGGATTTAAGTTGAACAAATGATATGAGTCATGTGTATGAATCTATAGCAAGGTAAAAGCAGGTTGGTAAATAATGTGGCTTGTATGTTAAACCTACTGGCCCGTAATCAATTAGATAGATGAAACTGTGTGCATGGAATCCTTGAACAGAATGTTAAACAAGAGGAAAAAATAATCATGTGAAGCAGAACATACTCAAATAAAGATGGAAGTTGTGCTAAGCGACCAAATGGACACCAATGGAAGCGAAGTGGCTGCACAAAACAGAAATATAAAATTATCAGGATAATCATGCACAAGAACTGCCTCTACAAGTAAAACAATGCCAACAAATGAGGAATCAACAAAAATAAACTAAACTAGGGCGGTTTATTAGAGTAAAGCAAACTAGGATTTATACGAGCCGCATAAATGTTTCAAAAAAAAAGCAACAAGGAACCATAAACATGCATTATAATAATTATTATCTTAAGAAGGGACAGTGTTTGGTCCGAGGATTATTCATGTAGCAAGAACATTGCTGAATTAACTCAGGCATTGTTTCTAAAACACTGAATATGCTACATAAAGCTCTTGATCTTAGTAGAAGTCGCTGAATAAAGGTTCATGTAGCATAACAAGTACACCAAAAGGAAAGTATGGTTAGTTCCACCATTTGCATGTTGGCATGAGGAATCATATCAAGCATCAGGAGTACATATTGAAATATAGGAAAATTCAGTAGAAAAAGGCATGTAGCCAACACAAAAACTAACAAGAAATCAAGTCTCTTTAACAAGCACAAATAATTAAGAGTATGGTTGACACAGTCACATACCATTTCTGAGTAGCTAACATCATAAAGGTCTTCATCATGGGCCCACTCATCCATGCTAACATCATGTGCAGATCGGGAACCATTTGCATAAAGCCAATTCCCTTTCTCAATTTTGCGGCAGTTGGGGCATTGCATAACCCCTTTGGCATTAAATGCTGATCCAATGCAATCTGGGGAAAAAAACTTATACTTAGCATACCAAAGATTATCAAGCAAAGAAAAATCAGAGCACTGCTTTGATCCTGATTAGTTCACACAATAGTAGGTTATTAAGACAGCATAGTAGAATAAGCAGTGGTAATGAAGTAAACTAGCACAACTTCACACCACATAATAAGCACATTCCTTGAGAAGAACTATTCTCCATCAGCAATTCAGCATCTAATCTCACTTCAGTGACTGTCATGTGGGGCAGCCAGGGGTTGCATGGTGACCAGAGGGGGCGCAATTACCGCAGCCAGATTTGGTCCGCAAAGGAGCAGCAAGGAGCAGCATGCAGGGAAGGCAAGATTTAGGGGATTTATGGGGAGTTATGGAGTTTATTTCCCATTATTTAGCAGGCCAAGTGCCTATATAATCCATGTACCAGCCCTCATTTGAATCAAGCAATGAAGAACAAACAATCCAATTCCCAATTCCCCCAAATACTCTAGTCTCCCTCCACGCCGACTTTGCCTGGCCATCTTCCTGGCAATGGTTATCCTCCCTATCCCCAAATGAACTAAGGTTCAGAACAGTGACATTGCAAACCAGAAATTACTTGCTAAAGAACAGCAAATTGTATATTCAAAGACCAGGAAGAAGCCGCATCGAACGCCTTGGAAAAGTAATACTTATTTTATCTCCGATAATTTATCAAGTCAGACATTTCAAATCTACGCGTGGTCTTTTGTAAGTGGCGTACCAGCTAAAGAATTAATGATATACACAGTATTTTGCTAAAGCATTTATAAATTTTGTCAGGGTCATCAGGGTCAGCTTCATTATATGATATAGATTTTCTTGAACTTCAACAGTATTTTGCTAAAGGATTTATACATTTTGTCAGGGTCGACAAACCCCGATAAAACCCCTTAAATTTGCCCCTGGATATACATGAAAGCATGTTGCAATATCATGGGTTCTCGAAATCCCAATCTCTATTTGAAGACCATATTTAGAAAAATAGGCATAGACATTCAGAAGCATCTAAAACCACCCTCAACCTAGTACAAATGCTGTAGATAACTGGGAGAAAGCAATATTTCATCAGAAAACCACAGAAGTAGCAAACCCCCTATCAGAACTCAATTACAACCATATGGATACTTCCTCCTGTTGTTAGTCGCTGAATTCTCACTCTTGGTAGTAGGAGAATTCTTACTCTCATCGAGAGAGGATGACACTAGGAGTTGGGGCAATTTTCTTGTCTATTTCTCACACAAACTCACACAAATGCCATACCAGCCTGAGGGGTTGGGATTACATATTTATAGGCTGCTAGCCAGCCAAGCATATGCCAAGATGCTAGTCTAAGATGCTAATATGCTGTCCTAGCTAAGATGCTGTCCTCTAGTCTAAGATGCTGTCCTCTAGTTTAAGATGCTGTCCTAAAAACAGAAAACAGCCACAAGGACCATGTGAGCAGCACAGCCCCACAAAGACCAGCCACACATGAGACTTATCCATCATTCTCCCCCTAAGTCTTGTGCGTCGTCTTGTGGGAGAGTTGAACTATCCCGGTCCTGGAGCAGAGCTCAAGGAACTTGATCCTCCCAAGGGGCTTGGTGAGCAGGTTCGCAAGCTGGTCCTTGGTGTTGATGTAGCTCGCCTTGATGCTCCCTTCCTCCAAACAGCCTCGGATGAAGTGGTACCTCACCCGGATGTGCTTGCTGCGTTCGTGGAACACGGGGTTCTTTGCCAGGACCAGAGCGGACTTGCTGTTCACCCTGAGCTCCACCGCTCTAGTGTCTCTGCCGAGGAGATCACCAAGTAGTCGAGTGAGCCAGAGCGCCTGAGTCGAAGCGGTGGAGGCCGCTATGTACTCGGCCTCGCAGCTGGACAGGGCCACCACCTGCTGCTTGACCAACTGCTAGCTAACGAGGCACTTGCCGAGGAAGAAGAGGATCCCGCTCGTGCTCTTGCTGGTGTCGATGTCGCCCGGCGTGGTCATTGTCATTGTGCATTGGCGAAGTGTGCCGCCCAGGGCACCTCGGGTAGTAGAGAGGCCGTGGTCGAGAGTCCCCCATGAACGTAGCGGATGATCCTCTTCACGACTCTCTTGGTGCTCGTCGTCGGTCCTTTGCATGAACCGACTAACGTGGCCGACGGAGAATGCCAAGTCCGGCCGTGTGTGGGCGAGGTAGCGAAGGCTCCCCACAAGCCGCCGCAGATCTGCGTGAAGCGCCCACCTCCTCCGTCGTCTTGTCGCGTGGCTCGACTTTTCACCTCTCCTCCATCGGAGTGAGAGTCTGGGTTGCGATCGGTGAGCCCAAATAGCTCAACGACGCTTTGGCGTGGCGGTGCAGTCAAGCGTGATCCCGAGTCATCCCGGTGCACCTCGATTCCTGTGTAGAAGGAGAGGGCCCTGTGTCACTCATCCGGAAGGTGGCCTTCATCTCTTCCTTGAATGCCGCCATCTCCACATCCTTGGTGCCGGTGATCACCAAGTCGTCGACGAGACACCCACCAAAGGGGCATTTCCTCCATTGCCCGTCGGTAGATGGCCGCCTCGTCGCGCCTTTGCTCAAGCCCATCCCTTTAGCGTGGAATCCAACTTGGCATTCCACGCCCTCGCGTTCGCCGCCGCAAGCCATAGAGGGCCTTGCGCAGAGTGAGTACCTTTGCCTCCTGTCCGGGATCGCAAATCCCGGCCGGGTGGTGCATCGTAGACCTCCTTCAAGTCGCCGTTAAGGAACGCCGACTTGACGTCCATGTGATGAACGCGCCACCCTCCGGCGGCGCCTAAGCGCAAGGAGTCGCCGACGGACTCCATCCGCGTGCCACGGAGAGCAAAGGCGTCGTCGAAGTCGACCCCTCCTGCCGCACGAAACCTCGTGCCACCAAGCGAGCCTTGTGCTTGACGATGGCGCCGGCTTCATCCCTCTTCACTTTGTACACCCACTTAAGGGTGATCGCGCGGCGGCCACGAGGAAGGTCGGCAAGCTCCCAGTGCGCGTTCTTCTCAACCGCATCCATCTCCAATCGCATCGCGGCGCATGCCTCGTGTCTCTCTCGGCCTCTGCGAACGCACCGAGGCTCGCCGTCGTCACATGCAAGGTGCAATCGCGCCTCCAGTCCTCCAGTCGTGAGGCACCAGTCCGGCACCAACCGTCGCCGAGAAGGTTCTCCATCGTGACGGTATCGCAACGGCTCGCCGTCGTGTATGCGCGTCGATCGCGCCTCGTCGTGAGAGAGCGGAGTAGCGAGCTTTCTACGGGCCGTGGCTCGACGACAGCCGGTGTTGGAGTAGACGTGCGGAGAGGTGACTGCTCGGTCTTTGGAGTGCGTGGCGTTGCCGGCTGTGGTGAAGCCGGCGAAGAACTCATCGCAGCCGAGGTCCCGGCTGGAGAGCGTGGTGCTGTCAGAGTAGCAGCGCGCGGTCGGTGGAGGCTCGGGGATCGGGGTAGACGCGCCGCCGAAGAAGAGCCGCCACTCCCCAGCTCCTCGGTGGACGTACTCGACAGCTGAAGTCGCCGTACGTCGGAGCCGAGCCATCGCCCACCGCTTTGTCCCACGCCCATCCTCGCCCTTCGTCGAACACAACGTCAAGCGCCGCGCGCTGCCGTGTCTTCGTCGAGGATGCGGTAGGCCTTCGAGCCCTCCGCGTGGCCGATGAACACTCCCGGAGTGCTCTCCCGCTGCCGAAGCTTCTTGATGTGGCTAAGCACCTTGGCGAACGCGAGACGCACCAAGACCCGCAGTGGGAGACCGCCGGCTTGCGCCCATGCCAAGCCTCGACGGCGGCCCCGCCGTCAAAGCGCCTTTGTAGGCGAAGCGGTTGAGGATGTAGACGGCCGTCACCACCGCCTCTCCCGAAGATACCGACATCCCCTCTCGCTGAGGAGGGCCGAGCCATCCCCACAACCGTCCTGGTTGCGCCGCTCGACGACGCCGCCATTCACTGCGGTCAGACGGCATGCAGGAGTGGCGGCGCTGAATGCCCTCGTCAACAAGAAGACGACGCGAATTCAACCCGCCGTTGTTTGGGCAAGAAAGACGCTGCAGACTTTTAACGGCCGCACTCTGCCTCCGCCTTGCCTGCTACATACTGATGGCGCTGATGGCGTCAGATCATCTCCTTGTCGCCGAGGACCATCACCCACATGTAGCGGGAGAGGTCGCCGACGACGGCGGCGGGAAGTAGCGTCGTCCTCCCGGTGTGGCCGTGTCACCGGCCACACAAGTCCCGTGCACAAGCTCGAGCCTCTCCTTGGCTCGAAAGCTAGCCCATTGTGGAAAGGGGGTCGCCTCTGCTTTCATCAACACGCAGACGTCGCAGAAGCCGCTCCCACATGGTCGAGGCATGGCGGGCCTCGCACCATCTCCGTGGGTAATCGAGCCGCCAGGGCCTCAAAGTGAAGGTGCCCGAAACGCTCGTGCCACTACCACGCCTCGTCGTCCCGACGAGCAGCGAGACAGAGGGGTTGTGCCACCTGCACGTTAAGGACGTAGAGTCGATTTGCGCTTCTGGATACCTTGGCAAGAAGGCGACGACGACGATCCCAAATCCTCATGACTCCGTCCTCAACCACCACGCGCAAACCGTTCTCATCCAGCTGTCCCAAGCTGATGATGGAGTTCCTCAACGCGGGGATGTAGTAGACTCCAGTGAGCAGCCTGTGCTCACCAGACAAGGTGGTGAAGATGACGGAGCCGACACCCTTGATCTCCACGCCAGAGGCATCCCCAAACTTGACGGAGCCTCGGACGATAGAGTCAAGCTTCGGTGAAGAACTCCGTCGACCGGTCATGTGATGGGTGGCGGCGGTGTCGAGGCACCACCCGTCGATCTTGTCGCTGCCGGAGCTCACGCCGAGAGGGCGTGTGCTTTTGGCTCGTCAAGGTGGAGAGCCAGCTACGGCGCCGGTCACCGGAGGTAGCTCGATCGTCGGCATGTGCCATGAAACGAGCCGCTCCTCCTCCTCTTTGTCGGCGACGTGGGCTGGCCGCGCGTCGTGGTTGCCGACAGATCCTTGGCCCAATGGTTGCCGGCGCGATTCTGCGGCAGTGTCGCCTCTCGTCTTAAACTTGTACGCTGCCGTGGCGCCGCCGCCAAGCCTCCGCGGAGCATCACCCTCGGCAAGCGCCCTCGCGCCCGACTTTAAGGCGTCTCTGCGCTTTGCTGCTTGGCTTGCCACGCTTTGCGCCACAGCCGTGGAAGAAGGCTCCCCGCTTCCTCCGGTCACCTTGGTCGGCAAGCCACCGCTCCCGAGTGAGAAGGAGCTTCCCGCCAGATGGTGATGGGCCCCGAGAGGGGGTCTGGGCTCATCGCCGCCGACGACCTTGAGGCGACCTATCGCCTCCTCAATCGACATCGTGGAGAGATCCAGCAGAGACTCGATCGAGCGAGCCATCTGCTTGTACTTCTCGAAACGCAGCGGAAGAGCTTTTCGACAACTCTCTCCTCGCCGTAGGTGTCGTCGCCGAATCGCACCATCTTCTCGCAATAGAGTGTTGAGACGGAGAGCAAAGTCATCAACGTCCTCACCGGCTTGAAGGCGGTGTTCTCCCACCCTTGCGGCGTGCTGTAGTGTGGACTTCATGGTAGCGGTCGCCGCCGATCGTGCGTGCAGATGATGGCGCCCCCAAGCCTCCTTGGCGATCCGCTTCTTTGTAAGCGAGAATCGCATCTCGGCGGGACTGCAGAGATGAGAGCATCCAGGCGCCCGTCGATCTAGGTCGTAGTCGACATCGCCGTACCGGACTGCCTCCCACATGTGCCGCACCTGGAGCTTTACCCTCATCACCGTAGCCCACTCGACGTCCCCGACAATGACCTAGAGCCCGTGGTAACCACGGTACCGATCCGGGAGAGAGCCACGCCGCCGCTGTGAAGGCCACGCTTCTCCATCGACCCGTCGCCACCACCGCTGCGTCTTGCGCCTCCTCCAGAGCGCGGCACCGCGCGCGTCGCGCCGTCTGGCTGCCGCCGCTGCATTCGTGCGTCGATCGCCCAGAGCGCCACCGCCGCGCGCGCCTCCTCCAGAGCGCCGCCAGCCAAGCGTCGCGCTTGTCTGCGGCCGCCGCCGCCACGCTTCGTGGGCGTCTTGCGGTACGCCATCGCGCCGCCAGCTTCGCTGTTGCCTCCTCTCTAGCAACTTCGAGGTCCGCGTCGGTGGTTCGTCGTGAAATGGAGCTCCATCTTTGCCAGCAGCCTCGACCTCCGCCAGCCACCCGCGCTGCTGCGCATTCGCCGCCCTTGCCTTAGCCGCCTCTGCCTGGTTGCTGCCAGCTCCGCCATTGCCACCTCGGCCACGCTTTAGCTGCTGCTTCGCGTTCCTCTCTCTGTCATGGCAAGTTCGACCTCTGCCGACACCAGCGTGCTCGAGGCGACCGAAGGCCGAGATCGCCTCATGGACATGACGCGCCACTCTGGGGGCTGCTTTGCGTGGGGAGAGAGCTGCCAGATGAGTCATGCGAGCTGCTTTGCTTTCATGTTGGGGCAATATAATGGTGGGAGGAGATGAGCAGAGATGCTCAAAGCACGAGGATAATCTGGCTCCGATACTGGGTTGTTAGTCATTTGAATTCTCACTCTTGATAGTAGGAGAATTCTTACTCTCATCGAGAGAGGATGACACTAGGAGTTGGGGCAATTTTCTTGTCTATTTGTCACACAAACTCACACAAATGCCATACCAACTTTGAGGGGTTGGGGTTACATATTTATAGGTCGCTAGCCGATGAAGCATATGCCAAGATGCTAGTCTAAGATGCTAATATGTTGTCCTAGCTAAGATGTCATCCTCTAGTCTAAGATGTCATGTCCTAAAAATGCAAAAAAAAAATGCACAAGGACCATGTGAGCAACACAGCCCCACAAAGACCAGCCACACATGAGACTTATCCATCACCTGTAATAAACACAAGGCATTTTAAGATTCTTGCCAATCACACATTTTCAACTTTGCTTTTTTACCACTAATGTATAAAAAACTAGTTAGATTGACAAGGTAGGATTGATGTTAGTAGGTTCATCATGAAAATATAATCCTTTTTTTATTAGATATCATTTTTTATAGAATAAAAATCAGAGATCTACCTTGTAAAACATGTCAATGTCCTAAATGACTTATATTTATGACATGAGGGAATGTTGAGCTAAAAACAAAACTGCGGAAGATCGATACCACTAAAATTAACTCTAGTGAGTAGTATACAGCATGTACAAGACACACATGGTTCCATTCATCAAGATAACAACTAAATATTTGTACAGACTACACACAAATTCTTTTGAGTGCGCTAGATATTAGTCCAATGTCCCTACATATCAGGAAAGATTTTACCTGAATGGAACCATGTGTGTCTTACTGGCCATCTTAAAAACAAACCTGCAAACCTGCAAAGTTCCTCTAATCCTCTTACTGGCCATCTTAAAAACAGCTGACAGCCTAGTATTTACTAAAGATTCAAATTGCACATAATTATAAATCTAGCATAAAAGGGAATATAATAGGTGAGGATATGAGGTTAAATTCATTACAGCAGACAACAAAGACTGTCCAATGAGATCATCAAGTTGACAACTCAAATTTGTGTCATTTTTAGTTTTGCCCAAGTTTCAATATTTGCATTTGAAACGTTCTTAAATCCCTTTGAAGAATCAGCAAACTCTAAAATCCGAATCTATAATAAAATTCAATAAAATAGCTCAAGACCCCAAAATTTCTAGGAAAACTCCCCATTGCCCACCTCAAGGTTACGCCAAACAGGCTCAACTTATACCATAAACAAAAACAGAGCAGGTACACTTCCAATTTTTGAAAGAGTTAAACAAAAACCACAGAAAAGCTACACAAATCTGTCAATAACCACCTGGTGTACTTGCCCAAATCATCCTCCCAATGTTAAATTGTTCCAAAAAATTGGGGCTTTTTATCAAGTAGACTAATAGAGCACAAAAGTCGCTCATAAAACCTTCAATGTCACCATAAATTATTCAAGGTCACACAAAAAAATCAGACATTTGGAACCTTGTTCTAAAATTCAGAACCATTTACACTCCCAAATCATCCTCAGGTATCAAATCTAGCTCACAAATAGTACCTACATATGGAGCCAGCTAAAATAGCAAAAATTCATCCACGAAACCTGTTCATGCAACAAAAACTTATGCCTATACAGCTGAAAAGATCCGACCTTTAGAACTTTTAGCCCAAAATTCAGCACGGTGGCAGCTATAAATTATGAACCGGTCCTAATTCCGCAAAATCAAACCATTTATTCACGAATTTGGCCACATTTAAGGGTCCCCACATCCAATTTGCCTGCCCAGCCCAAAAATAGCACCTACCCGCAATTGAACCACAAGCCAACAATCCACCGACAGATCCAGGGACAATTTACCTAGGTGGAACTCGTGGCCGCAGTGCAGCCTGGCGGTGGACCTCTCCCCGGAAGCGGCGAGCACGGCGTCGAGGCAGATCGAGCAGGACACCGCGGCGGCCTTGTCCTCCTTGCCGCCCGCCTGCTCCTTGGGCTCCGCCGCACCGACGCCCATCCCCTCACGCCCCCTCCCTTCCTCTCCCCTCCTCTCCTCTCCTCCTCACCAACCGCGGGGTTTCTTGGCCGGATCCCACGAAATCCGAGCCGGGCCGAGGCGGGACGGGAGCTCGGAACGGCCGCCCCGGCGACGGCGACGGCGAGGCTGTCACCCCCCGTGCCTCGGGGATCGCGCGCGCGCCCTCGGGGTGCTCGCGCCTTGTCCAATCGCGAGGAGAGCGCCTCCTCTGTCCCTCTTTCTCTCTTTCCTGCGTGCGTTCTCTCTCCTGTCTATCTGCTCGCCTCCACGAGAAATTAGATAGACAGAGAGGAAAAAAAAAGGCTGGAAAAAACAGGGGGCGGCGCAGGGGAATAAGACGGATGTTTTGCGATGAGGACCTCGTATAGTTTGGTATTATTACAACTCTAACGGTCAGTTGTACAGTACTCGGGACTATGTTTTGACTTGGGGTACAGTTTCTTACTACTTCAGTTAAAAAAAATATGTAGACCAAGTCAGGAGTATTTGTATTTTGCATAGAAATGAATATTTGGGCTGCCATAGGTTATATTTAATTGAATTTTACTTTTTATTACATATGCGTTGCACGTCAAACGGAAGAATTATGTTTGAACTGAGAAATGTATACATTGTTAAATTAATTAATGTTATCGTTTTACCAAAAGGAAAAAAGTACTTGCCTTGGCCAATTTACCAATTGCTTGAAATTAGCTAGCAAAAAGCCTCTGATTTCACATTCTATTTTTTTTTAAAAAAAGACATCCAAAGGTCAGATATTACAATTGGTATATGTACTAATGTGTCTATTTTACGTCCAGCAAAAGACAAGTTCAAAAATAGTGTTAGCCTAAACGAGTCTTCGAAGAAGCTTACTACATGGGTAGGAATTGCATGCGGACGGTGATGGAGGTGAGTGTACGTACGTTGTGAGTGTCTACGTTATACTGTGTAATTCTAAAATAACAATGTTTTAACGATAAACGACCGTTATTCTTTCGATCCATGCCATAAAACGGCTCAACAAACAGCCTGACCACTTATTTCTACCATTCAAGGTATTTTTATTAATTTATATCCAATTCAAGGTATTTTTAGTAAGCTCTGATTTCAGGATCACAACGTATAAACGAGGGATACTACTACTTCCCCCCCCTTGCAAACAAGAAAAGAAACGGTCGTCAGCCTCGGCATGTCAGCATTCTCGTGAATTTGACTTGCGTTCCAAGGAGGAGGCGGAGGAGCTGAAACCGGAGCGCGCGGCGCAGTGTTGCAGTTGCAGCCCGGCAAAACAGCTAGAGCATGAGTAGCATCCAAGTAAGGTCCATCCGTGGAACTTGCGGAAACCATAGGGTGCCATCCGAAAAAAAATCAATCACCGTGCGGTAAAACTGGTAGTTAAAAATTAAAAAAAATAGGAAAGACAAGAAAAGAAAACACCAGTCCGCTGTCCACCACGAACACAAGGTTTGACTACCGGGGGCAGGAGAGGTCTCGGTCAGCACGTGTAAAAGTAGATGACGTGCGAGGGGGCCCAAAGCTCCCTCGGTGGCCGACGACGTCAGTCACGGTGGCTGTACGTGAGCGTGTACGCAATACGGATGCATGCATGGTAGTACTACTCGTCGTCCTCTTTTTTGGCTGGGAGACTGGGGGGTGTTTGGTTTGGTAGTCTAGATTTTAGTCCATGTCCCATTGAATATTTGGACACATATATAGAATATTAAATATAGATTAAAAAATAACTAATTACATAAATTACGACTAATTTGTGAGACGAATTTTTTAAGCCTATTTAGTCCATGATTTGATAATGTTGTGCTACAGTAAATATGTGCTAATGATGGCTTAATTAGGCTTAATAGATTCATCTCGTAAATTCTGTCTACTCCTGTGTAATTAGTTTTTTAATTAGCTCATATTTAGTCCTCCTAATTAGCATCTGAACGTTCGATATGACACGGACTAAACTTTAGTCCCTGGAACCAAACACCCCCTGGGGCCTGATTTTCAATGGACGGTTGATCGGTTTCAGTCGCAGCAGCTGCTCACGGTTTGGATTGCCGGAACCCGGTGGCAGCAAGCTGGATGAAAAACTCGAAGCTTGTTAGCTCGCTCGGCTCATGGCTGGCTCGGCTTAGCTCGTCGAGTTAAGATTTTAGCTCGTTAGCTATAACAAGCCAACTCGAGTCAGCTCATGAGCAGCTCGCGAGCCAAACGAGCCACGGTTTTAGGGAAAAAGTCATCATAACTTATATTAGTATTATATTACTTCATGTCTTGCACTTTACAAATAGTTGATATGTTAGCACATATGAATACTTTGTTCGATTTAAGACTGTTGGATGTATTATTTTTGTATTATTAGTATTCTCAAGCTTTAGATAAATGCAAATATTATATTTTATGTACTTTTTATATCTGGCTCGCGAGCTTAACGAGCCAGCTCGAGCTCGTAAACAAGCCGAGCCGAGCCGAGCTAACTTGTTATCTTAATGAGTCGAGCCGAGCTGGCTCGTTATCCAGCCTTAGTGGCAGCCATTCCTGCCCTGCACATGCCTCTTGTTCAGTTCAGTTCTGAGTTCTGGCTCGCCGATGGGAGATGGATGGATCAAAGGCGCCGCCGCCGGCCATGGAGGCGGAGGATGCACAGCCCAGCCCAGTCCCAGTCCCGCTCCCACGGGGCTGCGGCCGTTGTGGGGGTGGAGGTTCCGTTCACTCCAAGAGTCCAAGTCCAAGTCCAGGAGCAGTGTCCTGGCAACTATTTGCATCTACGTTATATTTCAGTTATTTTTTAATTAAAAAAAGGAAATGCTTCAGTTATTAAAATCTGTGATTTCATAATATGATTTATGTTTCTAAGATCTTAATTAGAGGTAGGGTATGATTCTACAATTCTATATTTTTATGTTATTATTATGATATTATCGAAGTTCCTCTATATCGATCAAGACCGGAATGGGGAAAGAAATTGCGGAAAACATAAGTATTATACAAGCCCTAAAAGGGTACACTAAATGCAACACCCAGACCTAGGCCCATATATGCAACATCTATCTCATTAGTCAATATGGCTTGCTCGAGAGCCCAAGAGATGAGTTCAAGCTGAGTGCTAGAGTGAACCGTCTGTCTCGTCTTCTCTCGTATCGATGACATTTGGTGTTCTGCATTTCTGAGGCCAAGGCGATCGAGTGGCGACTGCCTATAAGGAATGACGAATCACAATCAAGACAGAGGAGGGGTACTGCATGGATCAGAGGCCGAGTGGGCGACTGACCGATTGCCCCTAATGCACCGGTGCAATGATCATGAGTAAATAATGTCGTCCCTTTAGGATTTTCAATTTATTTGCACTTAATGAGGTGACACATCGGAAAAAATGATGACGTACATGGCGCATAGATTATGTGAGGAGAGAAAGAAGACACTACCGTCGATCACCTCTAACAAATGGCCTCTATTAATCCCCTCTGTAAATGGTTTCTAGAAAACTAAAAAAAACTAGATGTTATTCAAGACTTGAACCCACAACCTACTACTCACGTACCAATGATTAGTTTTGTGTGGGGGACTATAAAAGGTTTAGCACAATTCTTGAACCCCCTTGCTTCTAACACATTAGAGGTCAAGAAACACCCATCACTTTCGCAAAAAAAGAAACACCCATCACATTTGCTTGCTAGCTAGTGATTGCATTCTTGGTGAAATTAGAGTGATCTTAGTGCATTTGCTTGAGAGATTACATCGACTAGCACTAGAGATCAAGTTTACTCTTGGGCGGTGGTTGTCACCACCTAGATGGCTTCAAACAAGCACTCAATTGAAGATTTGGGGGGGGGGGGTTGCTCCGGAAGTGATTGTGAGGGGCTATTAAGTTCATCCCCACTAGAGGGAAAGAACCACTCTAGTGGAATCGGAACTTAGATAGCACCTTGTGATCGAGCCGGCTCAAGATCAAGTGCTCACGTCAGAGCCAACCTTTTGAGGGTTGTATATGTGATATAGGAGCGACGATCCTATTGGGTTTGCCTTAATGTGGACATAGGTGACTGTCAAGTCACTGAATCATGGGGTATATCTTGTGTCATCCTTCTTGTGTGGTATTGATGCTTGTTTACTCTACTCTTGTGGATTACTTTGGGTTGATTCGTTTCACAGTAGAACTATTAGGCATTGTCATCCTAGAAAGCAAACTGTCGGTGTTTTGTAAACCAGACTAGTAAATCTATACGATTGACGCGCTGCTCTAGGTAGACGATGGTAGCATCCAAAAGACACGAGGATTTATACTGGTTCAGGCCGGAGCCCTACGTCCAGTCTCTGAGATAATCGAGTGCGTGTTCCTCACTTGAATGCTCTGAAGTTCTTACAATGGGGGTGCAAGAATGGTGCGAGGGGTGGTAGAACCTATGCTAGGCGAGGGGTTACCTGAAGGGAAGCTTTAGGAGCCCTACTACTATGGTGAATGAATGGAATGGTAGAGGATGTTCAAAATGCGTTGCCCTAGCGGTCCTTATATAGAGTTCGGGGCCAGGGCTAATACAAAGAGAAGGTTCCCCTGACCGAAGGGTCGTGAGTCTAAGGGAATCCTAGCTAACTTGGCTTGCAAGCTACGCCGTCTTCTAGTGCTCCTCCAAGCGTGGCTGTCATCATGGTCTTGTGGCCACGTCGCGGCAGGGTGTGACGTGGTGCTACTGTGCTAGCCGTGGTGGCACTGTAGACACAGTGATGGTTCGTCAGCCATCCTATGCAACGCGATATTCATCATGGCCTTCGTTTCCATCTCATGGTTTCCCAGGACATCACACAGAAGTTGGTAGCCGCCTCAGGTCGTCGTTTGCCTGGTTGCTTCGAGGGGCTAAGGGCCATGACCCCGATCGTCGGGGTCGGGGTTTTCAGTCGGTCTAGACGGCCTCTGTGTTGGGACCCTTGTCGTGGATCACATCCCGTAGTGGGTGGGATCGTACATACGTCTTGTCGGTCCGTATCTGGATGATGGG